TACTGAAGAATTTATTTACAGGGCAGCAGTGAAGAAATAGACATAGAGAATAGACTTATGGACATGGGGAGAGGGGAGGACAGGGTGAGATGTATGGAAAGAGTAACATGGAAACTTACATTACCATATGTAAAATAGACAGCCAATGGGAATTTGCTATATGTCTCAGGAAACTCAAACAGGGGCTCTGTATCAACCGAGTAGGGTGGGATGGGGAGGGAGATGGGAGGGAGATTCAAAAGGGAGGGAATATATGTATACCTATGGCTGCTTCATGTTGAGGTTTGACAGAAAACAGCAAAAATCTGTAAAGCAATTATCCTTTAATAAAATATTTAAAATAAAATTTAAAATATTATACAAGGAAAAAAGAGCTGGTTGGAATTTCATTTTAATATTTCAAATTTTTATTTTTAAATTAATTTTATTTAAAATTTTGAATAGCACTTTTATTGTTTAAGAAAATATGGTAGCTCCTTGCCCCATTTGTCACCACTCTTTAGTTTTGTTTTTCAGAGTCAACTCCTTTTAATTCCTTAGAAGTTTTCCCCTGCCATTGAATTTTATACTGTTTCTTAATAGTTTTCTTTCCTAATTGATCAGTTTTGTGTCAATACCTCACATTTCATATCAATTATACAACGCTACTGTATTGTTACATCAATTCTATGCTGACTTCTTTTAACGGTAGCCAAAGATTTAACTTTGTGACTTCAAATATCCCTTCTCTTTCCTACCATTTTTCCAAAATAGTCAAATCACAATTTTTGGTTACCCTGGTCATCACTATTTATATTAAGACTTGTGTTTCCTTATTAATTTTCTGTTTTGATGATCTGTCCATTGGTGTGAGTGGGGTGTTAACGTCTCCTACTATTATTGTGTTACTGTCAATCTCTGCTTTTATATCTGTTGGTGTTTGTCTTATGTCAACCAGCTATATCTTTGGGTATCAGAAGCCTATCCAGATTTCATGGAGCCTGAAATTTATATAATCTTGTAGCAGGGGAAAGGTACTTCTTCAAGAAAAATAATACAAAAGTACAAATAGAAAATAGGTATAAGAGTGCGTTTCTTTTTCTTTAGAATGTGAAAAAGATCACAGCAACTTAATGGAGGCTTGGAAATCAAGTTCATCTCTTATGTTATCTCTTTAGATCATTTACCAAAAATGCTTATACAGAAATGTTTCCTGACTGCAACCTAGCTTCCTCTCCCCACTCAAGGTTCATACAAGAGAGGGGCCCTGGAGCTTAAGCTTCACTGGGTCCATAGTATATCTATTCCTGAGAGCTCCAAGATAAAGCATAACACATCTGAGTCTGTATACACAGAAATCTGGAAGAGGGCATGGCTACCCACTCCAGCATTCTTGCCTGGAGAATCCCATGGACAGAGAAGCTTGGCGGGCTACAGTCTACAGGGTTGCAAAGAGCTGGACATGACTGAAGTAACTAAGCATGTGCACACACACACACAAATACACACAGAGAAATAAGCTCAACTACAATCACCCTGATCCTCTGCGGGAAGCAGTTCGATGGG